ATCCCGCCCCCCACACTCCCCGCCGCCCGCGGGAGGTGTGCGAGGCTGGAAAGCACTGTCTAGGCGCCCACTGCAAACCCCAACCCATCTGGGACTCCTCCACACGTCCAGCCCCGACCCCCACTCCACCCTGCCCAGCTCCTCAACCTAATTTTAAACGCTGGTCCTCTGGGTAGAGCCGTGGAAGAAGCTGGATGCGGAGTCCGGAGATCTGGGTTCCAGCCCAGCCAGGAATCTTCGTCCAGCTCCGGCATTGCATCTCCGAGAACCTGCTTCTTGTTTCCTCCGCATGGGGGCCTTGCGTCCTGTTACAAAAAGTATTATTTCTCTTATTAGAAGCATATGCATGTCACAGTCTCCCTCCAAAATTATGCCAAATCATCCTTTCTTCTGAAAGTGTTTCCCGATTGTCTACATCCGACCCGGTACTGTTGCTGCGAGTGTAGATGTCTAGTTCTATACAGTTGTGCTCTGAAAAGATAATCTGTGCTTATTTTATTTTCTGAATGGACTGCATCTGCTGTAAGAGGAGGGAATGGAGTCAGATGCTGGACCCACTACCAGCATTGCCGCCTACTGGTGGGTAACTGTGGCGAGTCACTTCTCTCTGGGCCTCAGTGTCTCCATTTGTAGCATTCCTGGTCTGGAATTTCATCCACGTGAACAAAAATATATGAGCCACACAGGGACAAGTCGATCGCCCGCGCTTCCCACCTCTCTGCAGGCTCATCCCGCCTTCCCAAGTTGGGGGATGCCTCCGGGATGGGGTGCCCTCTCCAACCGGAGACTCACGAGGTGGCAGCGAGCAAACAGCAGCAGATCAGGGGCTTCCAACGCTTACCCCCACGGGGCCGCCCGAATTCATACTCCTCGTTCCCCCCCCTCGCCCCATCCTGGGCTTAGCTACCCCTCTTCCCCCACCCCTACCCCGCCTTCCTCCTCTCGGCCCCGCCCCGCCCACCCTTGAAGCGCATGCGCCGCCCGCGAGCGTGTGTTTATAAAAGTCCAGCTTTGGCCAGAAACTTCAGTCCGTTGGCTGCGGCGGCAGATAGCAAAGTGGTCTCAAGAACTTGGGTGCTATGGGCGCTCCTGTAGAGCAAGCGGTTACTATGGACGGGTTCCATGTAAGTCCAATTTCAGCCTGTTTTTTCTGAACTATTCGAACATATGAACTTAGAGCGCGGCCCCTCTCGGAGCGGGCAGACGCGTCCAGGACATTGGAGGGCTGGTGTCCGGGAGAAGGGGCGTGGGAAGGAGTTTGGGGCGCATGGCTCCGTGGGGGTTAGGGATAGGATTGGAGTCTTTTTCTCTGTAAGCAAAGGAGAAACGATAGGAACCACTGTTTTGGTGGCTGCACGTGTCTCCCCCTTGAGCCGTGCGGCGCGCAGCGGATTGCACGCTGTTTGCAAACAAGACGTCTGTGCACAAGTGCAGAGAAGGTGTGCCCCGCACTGCCTCGGGAGTCTCTTCAGTGGCTCTTACTCGGCGGAGCGGGGTTTTTCTTTGGTGCGATTTACGTGAGATTTGAATTTAGAGGTGGAAGGCAGCGCCCCAGGACTGAGTTCCCGGAGGAAGACTGCGCCCCGGTTAACTTCGGGCAAGGGCACTGGGAACCACTCCTGACGTTGGGCGCGTGTTCTCTGAACTGCGGGGCCCGCGGAGCTGTGCGTGCACCCCAGTGAGTGAGCCCGGGGGTTCGGGAGTTTGGGATAGTGCAGAGGTGGAAGGAGTACTTACAAGCAGCCCCCGCGCAGCAGCACCCCGTCCCGAGGTGGGCGCGAGGGAGGCGGGAGGGTGGGGCGAGAGAGACCTTGAGGGCGTCAGAAGCGCTGCTAGTGAGCCCTGGGTTTTGGGAGTTGGGGATAGCATAGAGGTCGAAGGAGTACATATAAGCAGTCCCAGGGCAGCAGCACCTGTCCCAAGGTGTGCGTGACGGAGGCGGGAGGGTGGAGGAGTGTCTGGGAGGGCCCCTGGACTGCTCGCCACTGAGGTGCAGAAGGGCAGGTGCAAGTGGGAAGATGGTTTGGCTCTCACTGAGCCCAGTTGCGCTGTTTAACCGTCGGTGGTTTCCTGAAGGCTTTTGAAAAACCTCTTACTGGGGAGACTTTTCTCTTCCCCCCACCCCACCCCTCCAGCGGCGCGCAATTCAAAGGCGCTAGCCGCGGAGACGCCCAATCTCTCCCCCTGCACCCAGTCGGATAGAGCCTGGGGCTGGGCGGGACCCCAGGCGCCC